TGTGCTCTTTGTACATCGCCGCGGTTCTGTAAGTTGTGTGCCCTGAGGGGCCCTTCCCGGTGGTTTGGGGGGGGGGGATTGATGTGTATTAGGATGTGGAAAACTGCTGAGAGGGTCGTCAGGGAATGGGATGAGACACCTGCATTGGTAGCATCCGCTGGGAACTTGTCTGCACCTTCCTGGTTTTGTTCTCTGGAAGGTGGGTGTCCTTGTTATTCTGCAGATGAGGAACCTGAAGCTCAGGAAGGTGAAGTGATTTGTTTGTCACTGACCTGCTTGGGAGATTTGAAAGCTGGCCTTCCCAGTCAGGTCTGAGGCTTCCCACTTAGGGGACTTGGCGAGCCTCAGCTGCTTCATCTGCAGATAGGAGGAAGGGGGACTATTATTGCTTTTGGTTCTGTTTCTGAGAAAACCTTTCATAGCAGCTCCAGTGTGCCCCAGACATGGAGCTGTGCTCATCCTGCTGGGAGCCCTTCCCCTGCTCTGTAGATGGTTTCTAAGTATCTGCCCAGCACCAAGTGTTGGGTGAGGCCCTAGGGACAAGGGAGCCTGAGACAGCCTAGCCCCTCCTCCAAGGACATCACAGAAGGAGTCACAGAGGAGGCTTAAGCAGTGCTTCCCAGGGGAGATGATGCTTCAGGTTTGATTAGTGAGGTAACTTTATTATTTGGGGACTCTTACTACTGACCAGTTATTGTTCCTGAGACAGCTGTCTTTTCCAAAAGCTCAGAAAGTCATAGCCCAGCCTTAGTAGTGTCCCCCACTCATGTGTCATGGGGTTCAGTTATTACAACTCAGAAATCATTCTTTCTGCTTTGAGCGTTAGTGCTGGCCTTGGACCAGGGACTCCGAAGGAGAAATGAGGTGTAATCCCATTTGCAAGAAAAGGGTCATTTGCTTTCGGAAAGCCATCTTGCAGATAAAGTTTGGCTGTGGGGCAGGAGTTAGCTGTTCTTGGTTGATAGCCTCTGGCCCCACCTGAATCCCATCTCCAAACTGAAGATGCATCCATCCTGAAGTGTTAGTCTGGTTCAGAGACCAGCTTCTGTATTAGCCATTTTTTTCCCTAATGAATTAAGTGGAGCTTCCCTAGCTAGGGTAAGCCACATGTGACAGCTCACAGTTTTAACTCTTGCCTGTGTGTGTATGTGTGTCTGATCCAACCTTCCACTCTGGACCACATGTAGTTGGGGACACGGGTTTAAGAATAACCTTGATTGGGGGAGTCAGGGTTTTGTGAACTTCAATTGCACTGAGAAAATGATTGTCTCCTACTTCAAGGGACAGTGTGGTATGTGCAGCATGCAGGATGCCATTCAAGCACTCACCTCTGGTGGATTACTTTGTGAACAGGTTGTCATTTTACCTTAGGAGGGTGCTTTCAGAGGAAGGAACATGGGGCTCTGATTTGGGACATTAGATACAAACTTCTATAATTTACTGTGTGGCTGTTGTATGCTGGGTACCAGGACTGGCTAGTCCCTGAAGTAGGAGTAGGGGATGAGCTTGAGAGACAGATGACAGTATGAATATATAAAGAGCTTATTAAAATGTCTATCATGTACATCATCTTTGTAGTCTATGAAGTATTTTCCACCTAGCTCTTCAGGACATAAAAGTGGGGCTCAATGGAGGATAAACTGGAAAGGTGGGTGTGGTGGTACCAAGAGGGTATTCATGTGTACCCCTGAGGAGGTTGGTGCAAGGATTATTTGGTCTTGCTATGGATTTTGGCTTTGACCTTGGCCATCACATAAATTCCCTGTAGATGCCATCTATTGACATCTGTGGAGGTGGTTTGGCGAATGGAATCCTTCGGTTAATTATGAGTAATTGGTCAGCATCCCTACTGTGATCACTAATCTTGGTGTCAACTCACCTGGGAAGAGGGAACCACAAATGAGGAATTTCCTCCATCAGATTGGCCTGTTGGAATGTCTGGGGGGCATTTTCTTGGTTGTTAATTGATATAGGAGGGCCTAGCCCGTTGTAGGTGGAGCTGTCCCTAGGCAGGTGGGCTTGGGCTGTGTAAAGGTAGCTGAACAAGGCAGGGAAAGCAAGCCAGTGAGCAGCCTTCCTCCACTGGTTCCTGCCTTGGCTATCCTTGATGATGGACTGTAACCTGCAAGCTAAAACAAACTCTTTCCTCCCCAGGTTGCTTTTGGTCATGGTGCTGATCATAGCACTAAAGAGCAAACTAGAACACCTACTCTGAAAACTCTGAAACTTGAAGTGCACCCAAATCTGAGGCTTTTGAGCACCAAAATGCTCACAGTGGGCCATACCGTGAAACGTTGTGCATAAAATTAGGAAAATATTGTATGAAGGTACCCCTGGGCTATGTGTGTGGTGTCTGTGCAACAACGTAAGTGGACCCCATGATTAGGCTTGGTTCCCATCCCCAAATCTGAAAACAATTTTGAAATCTGAAACACTTCTGGTCCCAAGAACTTGTATAATGGATATTCAACCTGTACTGCATTTTCAATGACAAGCCCAAATACACCGAATGGAATGAAATCTTGGGAAACATTTTCCTAAATATTTAGTTTAGAAGAATTAACAGACTCACAGGGAATTTCAGGAATAGTAAGATGAGGTCTCATGACCCACCCCCTCAGCTTCCATCAATGGGAAATAGGTCACTATACTGCAGGGATTCTGAACTTTGAGATTGACATTTTGGACTGTGGGGTATGTGTGTGTGTGTGTGTGTGTGTATGTGTGTCTGTGTTTAGAGGGGTTTGGTGTCCTGTGTTGAAGGTTGTGGAGTTTTGACCCATGAGACACCAGTAGTAACCCCTCCCCCAGCAGTTGTCACAACCAACGTCTCTAGACATTGCCAGATATCAGCATGGGGCTGAGAATCACCTGTGGGTCTCAAAAGCAGGACATACACTGTTGTAAATACTTTATTGTTAACTAGATTATAATGTTACTCGCGTTTCAGTTGTTTCTCCTGGGCTTGTCCACCTCTGTGCCGCCCTCCACAGATGGGCTTTCTTCACCTTGAGGCTTCCCATTCATTGGATAGGCAGTACTGATTGCTAGAATGTTCTTCACCACAAAGACTTTTGACAACCTTCTACCTCTATTTATTCAGCTGTTTCTGGTTGAATTTCACAGTTTCCAGATTCTTGAAGTTGGAATGCTTTGGGGTCCCAGGAGTGAGCCTCAGGTTTCCAGTGTTCTTATCCCAGAGCGAAAAGCGACCCCATGGGGGTTATGGCACCGGATTTGGGGTGCACTTATTTTGTGGTGACTTTGAGCTGTGGCTGTACTCTTTTTAGAGGACAAAGTTGACTAATAATCCATCGTTGCACAACATACTCACCTTCCTCCACCCACTTGACAACAAGAAACAACAGGATAAACAGGACTTGGAAGAAGTGAAGTGGAGATTGTTTTTTCTTTCTCTTTCCTTGCATCTTGGCTTAGAAGCTGGCTCAGATATGGAGTGTTTTTAAGTCTGGGTTCCTCCTCCTTTGCAGTTTTTCCAAGCACAGGCTAGAATGCACCCCTGTTTAGATCTAGACAAACCCTCATGGAGACGCCTAATCCTTAGTCCCTGGAATGTAGAAAGCGGGCAGTGAGCCATGTTTGTTTGTAGGTCTGTGCCCAAAACCATTCCCTCAGTTTACATTTAGCACTGTGTTGTGTCCCAGCTTCCCAGCTGTCGGGGGCCGGGGGGGGGATAACCAAAGCGTTATTATTTGAGCATATTTGCTTGTAAACAAAGCCCTTTCTGTGTGCACAGCTGCTGGTTAGTGGAAAGAGCTCCCCTTTTTAAGCTTTGCGTGTCTGGCTGAGGCACTGTGCAGTCTGGCCTTTGATGGAAATGGCCTTTCTTGGGCAAAGCTGGAGAGTGAGGATTAGGAGGATGTGTTTGTAAATATGTCAATATATATTTAAAACCCCAGGGACTTCCATTAGCCTACTTAAACAACTAACCAGCAAGCCTGGAAGCTTAAGAGTTAAACCTGAAGTGTTTCATCTAAAGCTCCAAG